TGCAATAGCATTGTAAAGAAAGAGGATACTTATACTGTTGTGACACAGTGACATGTTTCAAACCTCAAATTAAAGCTAACAGTCTCATCATCTTTGACTTTCACTATCTAGTTTTGCCAGTATTCAGAGGAACTACCCCCACCCACCCTCCCTCTGAAATACATAAAATAGGTTTTCTGCGAAAAGAGCTCCTATTGATGAAGGAAAATGATAAGCATGATTTTTATGAAAGAAAGGTGCATGTTCAGCTTAGAATTTGAAAAATTGTCCCCAGTATGCTATCATAAGTTACTGCCAGATAATTTGTGAGGGCTCTCAAGTTCAATTACAGAAGGAAATTTTGCTTGACATGATTTATGAATGCAGTTACCAAGACTAATTACCCACATTTCTGAAACATGCAAGAAAATTGGGGAAAAGAAACTGTATCTGGCAACTGTTAAGTCAAAGTCCACCCTTCCACACTATTCTTCTTTGCTGCAGCACTTAATATAGTTTCTGGACTCATCTCTATCTCAAGTCACCAAATATGCACGCAAACATCTGTTTTAGTTTAATCTGAGATCTTGGGGGGTGAAATTTGCAATGTCTCATAATTACAGTATGGCAATGAACACTGTGAAATGTTGCAAATTTCGCTCCATGTTAAATTGTTGAGAATTGTTGCTGTGCAATTGCATTCTGGTTGGACCACACTCTTTTGTTAAATGTAACAAATATTCTTCTCAGCACCACAGTTCTCCACAGCTTTTAATTCATTACCTCACCTGTAACAACTGTACATTTCCTTTAACAACTCGAGCCCCAATATTTCAGGTAGCCTCCAGGATGATTTGTCTTCAAATTTAAGGTAGGGCACAATTGTGGAAATTTGCAGTATTATAATACAATACAAAATACAATACAAAATGACATTTGTAAAGCCCCTTTCATGTGACATCCCAAGGTGCTGGACAATCAGGGATTTGGACCCGAGCAATGGTATAGGGTCACGGAGCCTAGTTCTGGAGTGGTCATGAGCTACAGAGTTCTGGATGATCTTCAGCTTGTGGAGGGAAGAGTTGGAAGGGTTACAAGAAGGGAGTTGGCGTAATTGAGCCTAGATGTGATGAGGCAGTGGTGGAGCCAGGCGATATTGCAGAGGTGGGGAAGGCAGAGCGATTCATGGCACAGATGTGGGGTAGAAAGGACAGGTGAGGGTCAAATAAGACACCTAGGGTCTGGACTGGCTGTGAAGTGGATAGTGCACAACAACAACAACTTGAATTTATATAGCACCCTTCACACAAGATAACGTCTTGGAGCCTGCACAGTGGTGGGGTTGAAGGCTGAGCAAGGGAGAAGGGGACGATGACTGTAGGTGTAGTCAAAGAAGTAGGTCTTCAGGTGAGGTTTAAAGATAGATGAAGAAGGGGTGAAGTGGAGGAATTGAGGCAGAGAGTTTTAAAGGTTAGGGGTATAGTGGCTGGAGGCATAGCCACTGATGGTGGCACTGAAGAGACAATGATCTTACAGTCAAAGACTAGGTAGAATGTTGGGCCTATGGTTTTCTTAAGAGAACTTAACAAATCCCAATGATAATTAAAGGATATAGCAGGCTAGACATTTTGTGCACTTCACGATCACCAAAAGAAAGGAATTTGAAAGTATTGGAATTTATGAGAAAAATTACAAATGTATTTAATTGAAATACATATAAAAGCAAGGTGTTTTTGTTCTGACATAAAACGTCAAAACATTACTGCAGTCCAATCCTGGTCAACCTCCTTGATTTAACCTGAAGTAGGTCAGTTTCACAAGTCATGCAAATTTCCATGCATTTTTCACTCATTTCCCACATACAACAACAACAACAAAATGACATTTGTATTGCGCCTTTCACGTCGGGAGGACGTGCCAAGGCACTGGACAGTAAGTGTTTCGGACCCGAGCTGGGGGTTGGGATTGGGGAGGGTGGAGAGTAGGGGGGGGAAGTAGAGTGATCGAAAGTACGGTCGAAGAGGAAGGTCTTGAAGGAGGGGGTGAAGCAGAGGGACTGCGGGATGGAGTTCCAGAGGGTGAGGACAGAGTGGCTGAAGGCCCATCAGCCAATGGTGGGGCAGGCGAGGCGGGGGACATGAAGCAGGCTGAGCAGAGGGACCGGGCAGGTTGGTAGGGGGTTAGGAGGTCGCAGAGGTAGGGGGAAGCGAGGCCATGGAGGGCTTTGAAGGTGAGGACCAGGATCTTGAACTGTATCCTCTGTGTGATGGGAAGCCAGTGGAGTCAGGTGAGGATGGGGGAGATAGGGTCACAGAGCCTGGTATGGGAGAGGACACGGGCTGCAGAGTTCTGGATGATCTGCAATCTATGGACGGAATAGTTAGGGAGGCCGACAACCAAGGCGTTTGCATAGTCAAGCCTGGATGTTATGAATGCGTGTGAGGGTTTCTGCGGCCTGCAATGTGAGACAGTGGTGGAGCTGGCAATGCTGTGGAGGTGGGGGAAGGCAGAGTGGGTCATGGCATGGATGCGGGGTAGAAAGGATAGTTGAAGGTCAAACAAGACGCCAAGGTTCTGGACAGGTTTAGTAAGGTGGAGTGTGCTTCCTTGGATGGTAATGCTGTCAGCACCTGAGGTGTGGAAGCACTGACGGGAGCCAATCAGGAGAGCCTCAGTCTTGTTGACGTTCAACTGATGAAAGTTAGCTCTCATTCAGGACTTGATGTCTGACAGACATTCTGTCAGCACAGCAATGGTCCTGGAGTCGAGGGTGGAGGCAGAGAGATACAGTTGGGTGTCATGTACATTCATGTGGAAATTGACCCCATGTCTGTGGATGATGTCACCAAGAGGGAGCACATAGATATTCAAGAGGAGAGGACCAAGGACAGAGCCCTGAGGAATGCAGCACAAGATGGTGAGGAGGCTAGAGGAGAAGCCGTTTGTGGAGATGAAGTGGCGATGGTGTAAGAGGTACAATTGAAACCATTCAAGGACAGAACCACGATGGTTGAGGTGAGAAGAGAGGCAGTGGATGAGGATTTAACAGCTCTTTGTAATGTCAGTGTTTTACTATTACAATGGGTAAATTTGGCATACCTCACTGCCTTGGAAGTTTGCTAGCTGTTTGCATTTGTCTTTCTGCAGGACACGGCCTAATTCTGTACATGCAACTGCAGAGACTAAAAGGTAGAATGGATCACGAGTGGCACCTTCATCGGTCACTCAATCAAGAGGAAGTCAGTACAGGGAGCCTCGAAGATTCTGAAGGAGGAGGACATTACAGAACAGGAATACAACAACAACTTTGATTTATATAGCACCCTTCATGTGGGATAGCATCCTGGAGCACTTCCCGGAGTGGAGGAATCCACCCGCTAAAGGAGGCCATCGGATTGTTGGTCGATACCGTAAACCAGTCTTGATGTCTCGAAGTAAGAATCCTCTTCTGCTGCTGCCCTTCCTTTCCCATCCTTTTCTTTGCTTTTATTGTTTGCTCATTGCAAATCAGGGTTAATGTACCCCACCCATTATCCTGAAGCCATTAATGACCACCTTGCAGTGCTTAACGGCCATGTAGTGATTATCGTTCACACTGGAATTGATCGGCATCAAATGTCCCATATAGAAGAAGAAATCACTCTTTTAAAACCTTTTACCTCTTTAGGGTAAATGCAGTGGAATTTCAGCCTTAAAATGTTGTGCCCATTATTAGTTGATTGATTTTACACATCTGGGGGATTGACCTAGAATATAGGACTAATGAAATAAGAGAGTGAGTTATTAAGTCAGGTAGCAGTGGCTGAATGGCTTCCGTCTATGCTAAAAAAAACTGTTTTATGTTTCTCTTTCATTTGACTCTTATCTACGAGACATTGCTGAATGATATTCGCTGCCATGTTTGCCTGTATAACATCCTTCACTTTCATTTCTAATCAATTGTATTATGTAACATGCTTTGAGATGTTTGTGTTATGTGAAAGGTGTTATATAAATGAGAGGTGGGTTTTTTTCTCTCTGGAAGGTCTCTAGCATAGTTTACCCTGACCAAAAAGCAAAGAAATATAGAAAACATAAATCATTGCAACAGGACTGCAAAACTTGAACATAAATGCATTCTTAGTGATTACAATTTGAAAAGTGTCACAGGTATGCTTTAATACCTTCTGATAATTAAGTGTTGAGTTCAAGCATGTGGAAAGAACGGACAGAGGATCTTTACCCCAGAGGTCCAAAGCAATTAAAATTAGTCCTGACCAATATTTGCATCAGATAAATCTCCTGCAGTAAAGTTAACAGCAATAAAAAGAAATAACCTACTGACACAAACTTTCTGACACATACGCTCCGAGACACTATTTCTGTGTGAAGGGCACTATATAAATGCAAGTTGCTATTATTGTTTTTCTAGGCTCAGACCCTAAGGCCAGATTTAGGTCAATTAAGCTAGATACCAGAGATATGGGAGAAGAAGGGAAGGATCAAAGGGGGAGAAAATTGGAATAAAAATTGAAACATAATAATGCTTCTTATAATAATCCTTGCATTTGATAAACAGTAATGTGTTTTCATAAACAATATTAAAAAATGGCAGAGTTATATAAAAAATGTTGCGAGTGGAAAGGACCAAGCTGTTTGCAGACTCACATGACTAATTTTCAGGGGCTTCCCAAATCAATATGACCAATATGATATTAGAATAATGTTTTTAGTGGAGTTTGTATCAGTATTTTGTAAATGTATACCAGTTTGTTACAGAGTAAGTTTTCTTTGCAGAGTATTACTGATGTTATGGGTTAGTGCCACCCATAATGCTGTCCTTAGAATTCTTAATGTTCACTGTTACTTGTGGCATAATGTACACTAGGTAAATAGGATGTTCAGAATAATTCCCATAGGCACTGCTGTGATGTACAGAAGTGTGACCTTTGCTAATTCCTACTTCTGGAAACTGAGTCAGTAAAAGCACCGATATAGATTCAATCATGTCTCTGTGCGATTGCCTCTATTGAGTTTGACAGATGATTCGTGCATCTTACTTTAATCTGATAATCCTGGCACTTCGAACTCTCTACCTAGAGAAACATATTGAAAAAAGGGAATTGGATGCCATTGACCCTGTCAGCCACCCTTCCAGGGATTTTCCTTATGGCAAAGCATGTAGGCCTAATGTTTACATGGCAGTGAAGTTCAAGGTCACGGACATAAAGGTATCACAATCAATAACTGCTGTTCGTGTGGATTATGTTTAGATATTAGGATGAAGGTTGCTTTGAAGCTGTCTCAGTTTTGTCATTATAAGCTTGAATACTGAAGATAGAGAATTTGGCTAATTTTCTCTGCGCATCAACAGTAGTCTTGCATTTGGTTGAGTGTTTGTGCCTGTGTTAATTACTCACATTTATACCCGTTTCCATTGAGCCTTACAGCTTCTTTTAATATCTTTTGGCAGATAATTCTCCTACAGTTACTGATATGCTTGGTGACCTTCTATGGTGTATATTATGCTGTTGGAAGCATATGCTTTGAGACGTTCAGGTGAGAACATGTTGACGCTATGTTAAAATGTATTTGTTTACTGTAGATTATAAGAATGTTTCTCTCTGTCTTGATTGTAGCTTGGTCGTTCCCCTTATTCCTCCTCACTTGAAGGTCATAATTATACAAGCGCTCTGGGACTCTACCCCACCTTAAGACACTATATAAATGCAAGTTGTTGTTACAGAAGTGAAAACTGAGATGTATTACCTGTTAGTTACTGTAACACATATGGTGCTAATTAACACCATATCATTGAGAAAAGCGACCAGTTCATAATTAACACATTGACTGTCCACATATGTGCTGGATACAATCTCTCACCCGCCCGCCGATACCTTTCACAATGGTTGTGCTCAGAAGTTGGACACACCACACATTCAGGAGCCCTGTAGCATATTGGTTAGAGCACTCACTTCTCAAGCGAGAGGACCCAGGTTTGATTCCCAGCCAGGGCAAAACTGAAGGCAAGTTTCCTTACTCCATACGCCTCTGTTTACCTAGCAGTAACTAGTTGGTAGGATCGATTCGCGGATCGGTTTCTAGGTGCAATAATCCTTTTAAAAAAATAATAAAAATCAATCCATGACTGTTTGTGGGAGGATGCTGTGCACAATTGGCTGCTGGTTTCACCCACAAAATAATCAGTCAATTCACTTTACCTGCTTTGAAACATCTCAACAATGTGATAAGGCGCTATATCATATGCAAGGATTATTATCATTATTATTGGACTTTTGACCTGTAGTTCATGGTATTGGATAGCAGGATATTGGTATACTCTGACTTTTTGTTCAGGTTTTTTTAATTAGTCTTGTTTTAAAGGGACAGTATTGTTACAGCTCATTTGACTTGGTTGTGGGAACAACCTGTTTTGAATGCTCTTATTAATCACTCTCATATTGACAGCTGGGCAGATTTTGTGCTGAAACCTGTGCTGGAACTGCTTCAAGTTGAATCTGACTTTCATATTTGTACTTAAGTTTTAATCCCTGGACCTGCAAGAAAAATAAAGTAATTTGTGGGAGCAGATATAAAGACATTATCACATCAATCAACTGTTGCCTCACTGCACCCTCTGCTATACTTGAAGATGATACACTGTCTTCTAAAATACTTTACCATGGCAACAATGGCTCGGGAAAGAAGGGAAGCGCTGTCAAGGCACACTATGCTCGAGGTACAACAAATGTGTAATAGGTTTCAACCTGAGAATGCTTCAGGATTTGGGTTTGTTCTTGTTTTGCTTACTCAGAATGGCTCAGTTGGTAGCACTTCTGAGTCAGAAGACTGTGGGTTCAAGTTCCATGGATTTTGAACTCATGTAGTCCAGTCTGACATAACACAACATAATCATAACATATGCCCAAGCATGGTCCATATGGTGTATGGAATTCCGTAGAATCAGTCTCTCCGGGACTGAACTTGCTCAGAGGAGACGTACTGGGCAAAAGATTGTGAGGCTGACCCACTGTAATTCAAGGCACATTGATGGCTGAGCAGTCCTATCAATAAGTAAAGTAGTCCGTCCTAGCTAAAGTAAAGCCCATTTTATGCAGTCACCATTTTTATTTTTGTCTCAAGGAAAATGATTTAACTTTTACAATAATGCTATTCATCTTATAGAAATGGTGCAGATTTGTGGGAAGAAAATGCCCTATTCTTTACGCTTGAGACTTTACAGGGAATGTCTGGCAGGTTACTCTATACCAGTCTGTACAAGGACTATCACGAATTAGGTCTATCACTCACTTATCACTAAAAATAACAACAGAAAGATTGCTATTTTAGTGATCAATGCGAATTAGACCCCCATCATGTAATAACATGTTAACTAGTTAAGGTGACCCTCCACTTATATTAATGATGTCATTCAGAACTTCATTTCGAATCAAATTAGCTGTCATGCTTCTAATGCAGGAATCATTCAGGCTTTTGGTAAGTTGTTCCCTGGGCGTATGTTATTTGCATCCATACAAAGGAACTCTTGCCCCTGGTTTAAGTACAAAGGAGAACTTGCCCTTGTTACAGACTCTGTGGAATTATTGTCTCCTACCCACTAGAATACTAAAGGCAGAATCAGTGTGTGGGCAGCACTTGTGAGGTTACCATGTCATTGCAGAGTGTAGACAAAATCCAGCTCCCAACTGCTTAAGCAGAGATTTTCTTCTGCAAATGGGATTCTGTGACCCAAGAAAACAAATTCCATTTATCTAGCTCCACATGTTGCCTTTTAGTGTTAAAATGTTTGAATAATTGTCACTTAGGTGTTCACGGTCACTTGTTCCAAACTAAACTGAGAAAATATAAACAGTGAAAGACCTCATTGCATATTTGTTTGAATGTTTTAACTTTAAGGTAAAAAAAATCAACATTTGAAAGAAGAGAAATTCAAGTATTATCTTACACCAGAACTGAAAGGTTGAGATAAGTTAACTCTTATATCTGTGTGCAGGTATAACTTTTGCATATTAATAAATAATAAGAAAATATAAATTTGTTATAGCGTCTTTCACGTCCGGAGGACATCCCAAAGTGTTTCATAGGATATACTGTAAAGTGACTGTGTGTTTTGTGGGTGAATTAGCATGAGTATCCAACTTTGTGAATTCACAGGCTTCTTCCCTGACAAAAAAAGAACCAGAGCAGTAAAGTTTTAGCTTTACTAGAAGCAAAGTCAAAAATGAAAACCTATATTTCTGTTTCTATTAATTTAACACCTCATCAAATTTGGCCCCTGAAGGTGGGATGTGACAGCTGTCATTCGGCTGATCTCCAGACACCATTACACACACACATTGCTGTAGCAAGACTTTTTGATCTTAATAAGAGTGTGACATAGTTACAATAGTAATCACTGTGAGCAAAAAGGAAATAACAATCTGATTTGGAAATATCTCATCTCTAACATACACCTAAACCTGTGATTCCAGGTAAACACACCCCAGTCACAAATGCTAGACGCTATTTCTTTCTGGGTTTATAATACATTTCTTGCATTCTCTCATGAATTTCAAGCTGAGGCATGTTTCCCACCACAAACTCACTGGGAGTTCCTGGTACCTGCCATCCGCCTCGTGAGGGCTCAAACCCAGGCTTGTTGGATGTCAAATGATCAACTAGTGTCAATCCTCTTTGGTGGGAGGTAAGCAGGCTATCCTTGGAGGTGATGTGTTTGGAAACGGATTGTCAGGATCAAGCCCATTCTGTGGCCGTCTTGGAAATCCAATTCCTGAAAGGGCAGACCAGTCACTGGGGGTAGGGATTCTTCCCACAGTTTCTGTTAACCCTGGAAGCCAAAGTCCTAAGAGGGAAGGGTCCTATCTGGATAAGCAGTGGGAAAGCTTACCAGATAGTGCATTTAATGGCAAGCTATGTAGTTTTAACTGATTAGAGTCCAGCAGAGCCCAACACACACTCTGAGGTCTTCAAGCCTCTTTTCAACTTATGCCTAATAGTCTTCAGAATTAGGTAAGAGGGATATATTCCTTTAGGGAAAGAGTGCACATTCGATTCCAATAAATATCTCAGGGATTTCCATTCTAATGCATGAAAGTCTGAGTTTGGTTTGAATACTCTTAAGCACTGTGATGGTTTTCCTCATGTGTCAGACATCTAGCCGACCAAAAAAGAAGTCCTTCAGATGAATGTTAAACTGCAGTCCTTTTAAGGTGGATGCTAAAGATCCCAAGACATTGTTCAAAAAGAGTAGGGAATTTATCCTGGTGTCCTGGCCACCGATTCACCCCCAAATAAAATTGATCATTCACCTCATGTTGCAGGACGTAACTGTGCACAAATTGGATGCTTGGGTGCCGTGTTTGCCTACAACCTTTTATTTCAACAGGAGCATCACCTGAACTGTGGCTTGATTCCCACGTAGCATCTTTGCTGTGGAGAGCAGTTGTTGAAAACAAAGCTCCTTTGTAGTCCACAATTAATAGTGTCGATGCAATGAATGTGATCTGTGTGATTAGTCCTTGAGGCACCGTCATAAAGTGTAAGACTGAATATGATTCTAACTAGCACTACATGCAATTACTGCTGATCAGACTGACTGGATGACTAGACAGACCTAATCTTGCCTTGTGACGTCTGACAGCACAGCTAATGGTTTCATAAATTTCTCCCAACTGTACCAAACGTCTATAGAGCATTTTTGCTACATTTGTATGAAATGTGGCAAGCGGGATGTGAATGTGCACTGCAGTCTGATACTGCTTAAATTTTCTGAGTATGGTTTTTGCACTGTTCGTGGCTAGTATTTTCTGCAAGAAAATGTTAAATTGTTACATGGGAAGAAGTTAACAACATAAGAAAGTCAAGGAAACTCCGTGAGTCGATCACCTCCATCCTCACCTGGCTCTACTGGCTCCCCATCCCCCAGAGGATCAAGTTCAAGATCCTCATCCCCACCTTTAAAAGTCTTGCTTCTCCCTATCTCTGTGACTTACTAAAACTTCACTGACCTGTCCACTTCCTCTGTTCGACGGGCACTGTCCTGCTCTATGTCCCAAGCCCTGCTCGCTTCACCATCAGAGTTTGGGCTTTCAGTCTTTCTGCCCCCATCCTCTGGAACTCTATTTCCAGAGGTTTTCTGACTTGCCTCTTCCCTTGCCTCCTTCAAGGCCCGTCTCAAGGCATCCTTGCCTTCGGTCATGTTCCCACCTCTAACCTCACTTGACCTCCAATCCTCTTGACTCCAGACCCTAGCTCGGGTGCAAACCCCTCATTGTCCAACGTCTTGGAACATCCTCCCAACTTGAAAGGTGCTATATAAATGCAGTTTGTTGTTTTTGTGTGAGAAAAGGTAAACTTGCCTGTTAAGCTTCAATGAACGTAGGATGACCAAAACTGTAGAAATTACTGTTTTTCAAATGTCACCTTACATGTAATCTTTGCAAAGTTGGAATAATATCTTGACTTAGTCAAATACACTCAAATTGTGGCCTATATTATCTTCATTCATGGGAGCTTCAAATTGGTTGAGAACGTGGCAT